TCACATTTACTACGGGATTCCACTAAAAGTTCTCTTACAACAATAGAGCCGATAAGTTTCTTCACCGCAATAATCACCAGCACCCCACTGACCTTTCACATCATCTTCTTTATGCTCTTTATTACGTGCTGGACATGTTTCTGAATAGTCGAATTGATCGCTATACTTATTACTTTAATTAAAATATCAACAAGAAAAGTGATCCAATACCATTTTGATAACATATTTTCGTTTTTCTTTTGGATCATTGGTTTTTATACCTTCTGATGATCTACTTACCTCGGTTAAGTCTTTTGAATTCGTTTCAGGTAAAGTTTTCTTGGCTTCCTCGATATCTAGTAATTTTGATAAATTATTTGTGCCAGATTTTTCATACACCAATGTTCTTGTTGATTTATCATCAATGTTCTTCGTTGTAAGATCCTAATATTTTTTTCTAGAGAGAGTTCGGGAATTTGCATATCTATTTCCTGAATCGCAATATTTTTCTCAGCATAAACAGATAATTCGTGTATTATACCTTGTTCTACCTTCTCATTGTAAGGAATTTTTTGATCAATAAATAGTTTGGTATAAAACAGTAGATGAGTCAAAGACTTGAGAAGGATCATTACTTTGCAATAGTCCTGTTTCATTATGCGATTCCGATTGAATAGTTTTTGCTCATGTGTAAAAGTAGATCTTGAGAAGTGGATGTTTCATTATTTCGTACTAGCTTTTTTTTTCGATTCTTTCCTCTGATTACATCACTAATATCTTTTCTTCATAACCAAGAAATAATCGATCTCCTTATTATCTAATGGTTTAGGCTCTATGTATATAGGTGATGCGATGCATCGAGTCTTCGACTCTTGAAATACATCAGATTAAATATATCAGATGTAGGAGTATCGTGAGTCTATTTGATTGAGAGTATTGTTGGATTTTATTCCAGGAGAAATAGTCTCACGAGACGTAAATACTCTTGCATCTAAATATTCAATAATCTGCATGTTCTTAATAGGTGATAATGCAGATGATTGAGTAGTAGTAGTCGCTATACCTCTCTGTTCTAGATTCGTGATTCTGATTTCATGTTCTTTTAACTTTTCATTATCAGCCTTAACTTTCATATTCTTAGATTTAAGTTCGATATTTTCAGTCTCAATTCAGCGCATTTCTTTTTAAGCAATCTTAGCTACAAGCTTATAATTCCATTCTCTCAACAAGTCGTTATTAGAATGCGTGTTTGCTATTTAAGATACAGATATATTCAAAATAAAAAAATCACATGTATGCTTCGTTCCGAAACGGAACACAAATGCCAAGAAAATTTCACGCTTTATCAAAAAAATTTCAATCTGATATAATATAAACATCGATAACAAAGTAATAAAATAAATTCACGAAATACACATGCAAAGTAAGCATGATTAAACATAATTATGTGTGCAAAATCGAGCCAGCTTTATTATATAAAAAATAAAAATAAGTATAAAATAAAATACAGTATATGTTTTATAGTACGCATTTATTGATAAATCCGATGTAACAAATTGTATATATTTACTAAAAATTATTCAAATATAATAACTTATATCTAAGAGTAAACTAAAATGAGCATTCGTTAGTTGGTTATCCAGGTCACACCACGCGGAGGTCAATGCTCAAGTGACCCGTGTACCACACTTGGTGGGTTTGGAATTAAAGAAAGTGTATATACAAAAAAATTTAAAATTTGATCCTCTTATCGTAAGTAGAAAAATTAATGTAAACGAAAATAAGGTAAGGGTAGTATTCCACGTAGTCTATCAAGACTAACGTTGATTAAGTAAAAGGGTAAATCGTGTTTATCCGATAAGAGGATCAGATCTTCAGCTTCTCGAGCTGCTGGAAACGCACCTTGGGAGAACGAATCCATAGATGGAGCTACTATGATACCTATAGTAATTCTTTCATTAGATTCATTTCGTTTATATCTTCGAACAACCTCGCAATGTTCGAAGACTATCGAGCGATCTAAATTTTGTATATTTGTGAATTTAAACATAATATCTAAATAAAAAAATGATAAATAAAAAAAGGGTAACTTCTATTTGTATATTAGTGTATGAACTATGGGTATATATAATAATTCGAAATTTTGCTTGAAACCATCCTTCGGGTTCTAACAAAAAAGGATCTCTGTGACATTTTAGTATAAACTACACTCTAACCCAAATCCCAAACCTAATTTATTTTCCACAATTATGCCACGAATTAGTATGCATTATTAAATCACAAGAAGATCTTAAATATTTTACTTTTTCTGCGAT